CTCTCTCTACTCGTTTGTAGCTGAGTGACAATAGTTATTAAAGATAAGACTCGCTCAGCCAAACTCGCATAGCGATACTCGCTCAGCGATACTCGCTCAGCGATACTCGCTCAGCGGTGCTCGCTCAGCGGTGCTCGCTCAGCGATACTCGCTCAGCGGTACTCGCTCTACGATACTCGCTCAGCGATACTCGCTCAGCGATACTCGCTCAGTGATACTCGCCCAGCGATACTCGCTCAGCTATACTCGCTCGGTTAAGCTGGCTTGGCTGTCAAAAGCCGTGCGCATGCATTTTAACTCAGGACTGCCAATTCGTTTCTACTCGCTTATCGTTCATCGTCGGAGGTGGAACATGTGCCTTAGATTACTGAGCCGTGTAATCATAACAGTTTCATAGGCAGTAATTTGTATTCATGTCTATGATAATAAAATCCTTTTGTTTAAACTTTATCTAATTTAACTTTATTTAAGCAATTTCTGTGTGTACACTAGTACACGCACACATTTTTTTCTTCAAATTAAGACGGGTGAAACCGCAGGGGACCTCTAGTTGTAACATAACTGTAATAGTTAGACATATTTTATGGAATCCCGGACTTTTTGTTGATATTGGTTTGGGGATGTTTAACCGCTGCTCCCCACTAGCGGATCGGAGTAATTAAACGACGATACGTCAACTTATCAGCACAATATTTGGAAAATATTCACAATTATAAAATACAATTTGTACGGACGAAATTTTTATCTGAAGTCTATTTTAAGAATGACAATTAAAAATACAACAGAAAATATCAAAAAGAACATAATTATAAAACTTAATTTCTAATGTGCCAGTGCCTAGGGAATGTCCATAGACACTGGCTGTATGGCGACATGGATCAACTTTTATGTGGTGCAAAGTCGCCACATTGGTATCCTCTATAAAACTTTAGTACTTGCACTTTGCTCTATTGTCAATGACTTCCGCAGCGTACAGGGTATTTTTTCATACAAAGCCCTTACTTTTTGAAAATACACTGTAGCCTATATTAATCAGTGATAATGTAGCATTCGAAAGGTGAAAGAATTTTTAAAATCGGTCGGGTACTTTTTGAGCCAATTCGTTACAACATACGTAAATACAAATTTTTCCTCTTTATAATATTAATAAGTAAATAAGGGGCTCGATGGCGCAAGTGGTTAGCGCGTTCAGCTGCGATCGTTGAACTTAAGCAACTTTAGCAGTGGTCGGTCATTGGATGGGTGACCAAAAATTACTATCTCGAGCTCCTCCGTGATTCAGAAGGCACGTTAAGCCGTTGGTCCCGGCTGCATCTGCAGTCGTTAGCACCCACCAATCCGCACTGGGCCCGCGTAGTGGGTCATGGCCCAATCTCCCTATTCCATCCATAGGGAAAGCCTGTGCCCCAGCAGTGGGGACATTAATAGGCTGATGATGATGATGATGAAGTAAATAAGTATAGATAGACGTTGAAAAAAACTGCATTTTATGTTTTTACTCAAACCAGTTCTCACTAATACAAAAAGTTATTTGTCCATAGGTTCTTATAAAATACTTTGTATTTTTTTAAGATGCAAAAAATACCTACTGTTCATCTTTGTCGTTACGAGTTTTTGCTGAAGCAATGATTTTTTAGTTTGTTTTTATTACGAGAACGTATTGTAGGTAATAATTTGTTGCCATCATAATAGATACTGAGCTTAGTAATTTTAACGATCATAAATACCTATAAAAACACGCCAAGTGTGTTTGTAAGCGTGCACAGAAAGAGTTTACATCTTATAAGGTTTAACATTTCAAACATAGTGATGAACAAAATAAAAAAATGTGTGCGTGTACTAGTGTACACACGTAAGAAGTGAAACTTCTTTATGGCCTTATTTTTCGAAAAATGATCTATCGAGAATCGCTGAGCGAGTATCGCTGGGCGAGTATCGCTGGGCGAGTATCGCTGAGCGAGTATCGCTGAGCGAGTACAGCTGAGCGAGTATCGCTGAGCGAGTATCGCTGAGCGAGTACAGCTGAGCGAGTATCGCTGAGCGAGTACAGCTGAGCGAGTATCGCTGAGCGAGCACCGCTGAGCGAGTATCGCTGAGCGAGTATCGCTGAGCGAGTATCGCTATGCGAGTTTGGCTGAGCGAGTCTTATCTTTAATAACTATTGTCACTCAGCTACAAACGAGTAGAGAGAGTTCTCGCCGGCGACAGTGTGATCATTCAGCTATCAACTATTAATATAAAAAAAGATGGCGCGTAACGGAAAAATGTGACGCGTAACCGAAAAATGTGACGTTTCCAACGCCGATAAAGAAGTTTCACTTCAATAAATAAATATCTCCAACACTTACACCAATTATTCTAGCCCCAAAGTAAGCACTGTAAGGCTTGTGTTATGGGAAACTAGGGTAACGGATACAATACATATACTGTACATATATAAATATATTTATATAGAAATACATATTAAACATCCATGACTGGAGTACAATTGCTCGTATTCATCACACAAACATCTGCCCCCACCGGGATTCGAACCCGGGACCTCTCGAGTCGGCGACACTATGAAACCCGGCGTACAAACAACTCGGCCACGGATATTGTCAAACAAAAAATGAACAAAAAAGCTGCAGAAATCACGTTCCACGTAAGGGGGTTTCCCTTTTAATTTTTACCTGTAGTTTATTAGAACCCCGCCACAATCGACAGCATGGTGTCGATTCTGACATGATTCTCTAAATTTAAAACTTAAGACATTAGTCTCTCCTTTTCATTCTGTATAGAGAATGACAAGGATACACTATTATCAAATTTAAGTTTAGGTTCAGAGAACCCTGCTATAATCGACAGCATTAAGTCTAGTTTTTATAATTTGAAATTTAAAATGGAAATCGGGGCGGTGCCAAGATTAATACATGGAATAGATTTTCCGCGGTTAAACGGCGTGTCCTTGGTTCGTTCGGGTTTTGGGGTTAAGATTGAAACACTTAAACCAAATTATAAATGAAAATCTATTCCATGTATTAATCTTGGCACCGCCCCGATTTCCAAATCATACTAGGACCCGCTACTAGTATATTATTTTTTATTTTTATTTTTATTTTTATTTTTATTTTTATTTCTTTAGTGTCTTCAGTTATATGTATCTTATCAGTAAAGAGTTGTTCTATTCAGTGTTCTTCAGTTATTTACTGCAGGATTTACAACACAGAAACAGAACAGTGATAGACTGTATGCCGCCGTCTTCTTATTGTGAAGGTACCTAACTTACCAAAATCCCACTAATTTACTAATTAGTTTTTCGGGAACATTAAACATTCCGGGAATTATTGGGAATATTAAAAGCCCGGTAATATTCCCAGTATATATCCTTCCCGGCAATATTACTGAAGTATTGGGAATGTGCCTGGGAATATTACCGAGTGTAATAGTAGTATTAAAAAATACAAAATGCTACTTGGTTATGTAATCCAATAACGGGGGATAGCCGATGCGAATTGCAACAGAAAAGTGTGCCCCTCCAGCCATTATCATTTTGCCCGCCTAAAACCAACACATACTTAGTGAAACCTTGAAACCTGACAAAGACACGGCGCCACCAAAAACTCCCCACGACAAACGACTAACTACACGCGAGGTCTAAGTCTCAAAGATGCCCTCTAGCTTAGCCGAACCTTTAGATTCGAGTGGTCTAGGGGATCCAGACAAAGAGAAGACTCCCCCCTTTTTACAATCTTAATACAGATGCAATCTATTTATTGTTTATTATAATTTGTTAATTATGTTATTAATCATGAACTAGTAGTTGATTTGTTGATTCATGACCTTGGGGTCTTCACTGATAATGTCTGTCATACGCATAAGGTTGTATTTCATAATATTAATAGATAATTGTGAACAACAGTTCTTGTTTAAGTACACTTTGACCTTCATCTTAGATCTTGTGACTATTGGGTAATGTGCTTCAGCCCTTTGATTCTCTAAACCTAAAATTAAATTTTACACCAGTGTAATTATCCTTGTCATTTACAGCATGAGGACCATAGGGGTATAAGAATAGAGTAGGGGAGATATTATGTACTCTCCTACAAGTGGAAGTGGCCGTCTAGTAGAAAGAGAAAGGAGATGAGAGAAGGCTAGCTATCTCTCTCTCTTGTGACGCTGCGTAGTCATGTGATTGGTCGGTATTGCTGCGCAGTCGTGTGATTGGTCGGTATTCATTCGTAGGTTTTTCATCCAATGCGCATTCGCGATTAGAGAGAGAAAGGCTAGCCGTCTCTCATCTTCTTTCTCTTTCTACTAGACGGACACTTTTAGAGGCGCCTTCCCCACTCTATTCTTACCTCTATACCTCTATGATGAGGACAGACTGATTTTAAAATCAGTTTTAAGTGGAGATAATGAAACTCATAGCCCGTCTGATGGTAAGCGATCGCTCTTGTCTATGGACACTTGAGGTACCAAAATATCAGCTCGGAGGAAGATCTTCCCCTTTGGCCTTCCCACAACACGGTTCCTGGGATGAGTGGTGCACCTTTTACTCCGGGGCACAGCACGGGGCATCGGGGGGGGGGGGGGGGAGTCCGGAAACGGACAAATCACCTTGCGGGTGCGTGGGCAGTCGAATAGGGTACCGCACATACCCGCACTCCCGTCGCGCATTGGAGGGACTGCGGTCCTCAGAATGCGTGCCGGGTGACCGGTGCAGGAGTATTGTCTGGTTTTTACCACTCTGGTAGGGCCCTGGTCTCTTCATCGAGCACTAAAGTTGGGTGAAGTGAAAAGGGAGTAGTCCCGGATACCTTCCTCATGCTCCCCAGTGGCTGAAAGATGCGTAAGGCATTTTCCAGGCATAAAAAAGGGTTGCCAGATGTACGATTTAAATTGTATTCATTTCATACGACTTTCGGTCAAAGAGAATACAACGCACGAGAATACCCCAGTAAAAAATACGAGTTACACATAACTAATTTCAAAGTAAAATATATGCCTTCTTTTCACAGTAAACCAAGACAGAGTGGAGCCTGTGCGTGGCAGAGGAAGACGGCAGGTGGACCCAGACGATGTTTGGCATTGGGGAGCACGTGAGTCTCGTTGTATTACTAATTATTTATCATATTCACTAAAGTCGGGTACTCATTAGCGAGCTATAACGTACGAGGTTCTAGTGTGTACGCTTGTAGCTCCGTTGTAAACGTCGCCGGCTCGCTGCAAACCGCACGCGTACCGCTAGCAGCAGGTTAGCGAACCACGTACACACTATGCTTTTTGGTCACAGTGCATGCAACGGTTACGGTTACAGCTCGCTAATAAGTACCCGGCTATAGTTATATCCTTATTTTACTATGCAACTGCTACAAATGGGGTAATAATGTTGTGGCGGCGACATCTACACCCCCCGACATATATAACGAAGCAAGACTTGGCACTCCATAACAACAGAGAGGGCCGGATTTAGGATTGTGGAGGCCCCGGGCCACTTAGGATTTGTATTCTTGTTAACCCATCGAAATGTTGTTACTTCTTAAGCTGTTGTGGAGGGCCCTGGGCCACAGCCCATCCAGCCCTGCCTTAAATTCGGCCCTGCGGGCAAGTACCACCCCACTCAGCCATTAAGCGATTGGGGTACTCCCTCAAGATGGGTAGTGAATTGGAAGTGCTTATCAGGGCCATTTAAGATTTTGATATTTCACTGATTGCCTGATTGGAGTGAACAAATATAGATCAATGATTTCTGTTATTTAAGATTAATATAATCAAATAATCATGTACGAGTATGTTAGATGTACAAAATACTGTAGGCTGTAGGTAAAGGTAAAAGAGCAAAAAAACATTTCAAAGGAAAAGATGTTTACTAGTGTTTACTAGATGGAATTTGAATGTTTTTTTTTCCGAGGTCTCTATTGTGGGGGCCCCCCGTTTGTGGAGGCCCCGGGGCTTTCGCCCCGGTTGCCCTCCCCTAAATCCGGCAGTGACAACAGATGGCGCTACTGGCGCTGCACTCAAAAGTATGGTAGCCTACGGCTAAGAACAGACTCACGCCGCGATTTTGGGCTGGCAGGCTGCGGAACCGCAACTGGCGTAAAATTTCAAATTGTTGGTAACACGCAAAAGCAAAACTCCGGGTGCTCACGCCGCGGTCTGTGATTTTTATGCGGGTTACCAAAAAGTGCGCTCTGAATTGAAAGTTTGCGGGCCCGCAAAGCCTGCGATCCTTTCCCGTAAAGTCTGTCAGCGGGCGGCCCATTGCGGATGAAAACCGCAAAAAACTGGTCTCGTGAGTTTTGAACACCTGCCGCGGCGGGTGGGGGAAAAATCGCGCTATGAGTTCTTTAGCCTACATCGCGCAAGAGAAATTCGGAGGATAGCACTTCATACATTATATTCAATGCACGACCAGCATCGGTCGGGCCGCGACCTCCGAGCTATCATCACCCAGCTCGGTAGAAGATCTGCTCCTTTGACCTCTCTGGGGGCCAATCGCCTAACGGAAATGCTTTGGGAAACGCTAACGCTTACGATTTTATATTGTTATTTCTAGCCGCCTGAGGTTTTCGAATACCTCACGTTCATTTTTTTTAATATTGTTATTACCAATGCAAAAGAAAAAGAAAGAGCGCGAGGCATTTGAATACCTCAGGCGGCTAGAAATAACAAAATAAAATCGTAAGCGTTAGCGTTTTCTAAAGCATTTCCGTTAGGCGATTGGCCCCCTGATCTGTTTATCGATTTACAAATGTTATTTGAATGATCCAAGTTTATACACCATGCATTTTGAGTCATCTGTGAAAAACTACCCTCAGGTACTTTATTAATAAAGTCATCGCTTATATAACTGGTTATAACGTAATATCATAATTTCCTTTTTCAACACAGAACCTACAGAAGCACCAGGCGGCACTAATCAAAATAGTAAGTGCAATCAATGGAAAAGTGAATCATGTAAAATAAATAAAAATAAACTTACAATTGCTTACAACGAATCCCACACTAATAGCTTTTACAATGCAGCTTAAACCGATTCAAAATTTCAAAGTTAACAACTTAAAAAACTACATATGCATTACAGCTTTTCCGCTAAACGCAAACTAGATTTACCATTAGGAAATATTGTTTTAAAATTATGTTTTTTTTTTTATTAGATGGTACCACACCCACCAGAGTGCCTCCCGCCAGTGCAACCGACAATAATGGCAATGGTAAGTCATCATCATCATCATCATCATCATCAGCCTATTAATGTTCCCACTGCTGGGGCACAGGCCTTCCCTATGGATGGAATAGGGAGATTGGGCCATGACCTACCACGCGGGCCCAGTGCGGATTGGTGGGTGCTAACGACTGCAGATGCAGCCGGGACCAACGGCTTTACGTGTCTTCCGAAGCACGGAGGAGCTCGAGATAGTAATTTTTGGTCACCCATCCAATGACCGACCACTGCGAAAGTTGCTTAAGTTCAACGATCGCAGTCGAACGCGCTAACCACTTGCGCCATCGAGCTCCTCAATAGTAAGTACTTATCTGAAACTTTAAGGCTGCTGTGAAATTAGCAGCAAGGAGTATGTGCAGGTTTCGCGCGCGCCTATATCACTGTTCATTGCGTTAACTACCCGCGACTCGCGCTAACTTCATAGCTGACAATAATTTTGAATCGTACCGCACTATACCAGTCCTTAGGTCTATGTTATAATATAAGCTATTGTTACATATTTGACATTATGTGATGGAAGTTGACCTCAACACATGTTTGCAAGTTTGATGTCAACTTTCAATTGGACGACACTGTATGAAATAAAACAGGGAGAAAAAAGCAGCCCTTGCTGAGTTTATTGCCGGTTCTTCTCAGTACAAGGTCTCCCGCCTTAGATTTGCGAACCGATAGCGTAGCTTTTCGACATTCACAAGTGCTTGTAACAGCCTAGACTGAATAAACGATATTGAATTTTGAATTGAATTTTTTTGAATATAATACATAAAATAAAAAATACTTATTCTTATTGTTTTTTCAGGTGATGAGAACAGTTTCTTCATTCAGTACAACAATGTCCCCATGGGCATGGAGCGCGTGGGCAGGAGAGTGTTTGTCTCTCTACCGCGGAGAAGATACGGTAAAATTATTATTGTTTTAACTTAGATTAAAACAAAGAAGGAAGAACAAAAAGGGAGAGCAACTCTCACGCACGCACACTTCTGTAAATAAGGCGTTGAGCAGACGACGGGGCGGGGCGGGCATTTTGTCCACGAAGCAATAAAGACCGCGTCTGCCCGTCGATGTCTGCGGCTGCCCGCGCCGCGTACACAAAGCACACGACGGGCAGAGGCGGTCAGTTCAGGACGTTCGTTCCAGTGAATAGTGCATCACTAAAAAGCGCGTGGCGCGGACTGAGCTGACCGCCCCGCGCCGCCGTCTGCCTTACTGCATATAAACAAAGCGCCTTAGGCGTTTAGCAGACGGCGGGGCGGGGCGGGCCGGTCAATTTCGCCGCGAATAATAGCACAAAGTGAATCCTATACTTCAAACGCACACAGCGGTCAAAAAGACCGCGCCTTGGGTGCTCGGCGGGCACTGGCGGCTGCCCGCCGTGGATCATACAAAGCAGTTTATATGCAGTAACGCAGACGGCGGCGCGGGGCGGTCATGGACTATTCACTAGAACGAACGTCCTAAACTGACCGCCTCTGCCCGTCGTGTGCTTTGTGAACGCGGCGCGGGCAGCCGCAGACATCGACGGGCAGACGCGGTTTTTATTGCTTCGCGGACAAAATTCCCGCCCCGCCCCGTCGTCTGCTCAACGCCTAAACATTCAATCGAGCGAGTGAAACAGAACTGTATACTTCAACGCAGCGCGAACGAAACGGCGATTATCTTTATAACACAGAGTATACGCAATATTGTTATATTGAGTGCACATGCATCGTGTTTGGATGTCCAATAGGGTATTTGACAAGTTTTAGAAAACGTCTCACGTTATGGACTAATGTTTATGGAATCCGTAAAATGGATATTCATCATTATGTTGTGTATTTCAGTAAAAATAACCAAATCAAAAACTCCATTTTCAAGTTGCCGCGAAAACGTTTTTGTGGACAATATGGCGTCTTACTAGTGTGTGACGTCACGCGACTGTTTTTAAAACGTCAAACGATACAATGTAATGTTACTTTAACCGGAAGTTTACTTGCGTGTGACGTCATTTTACGCTCCGCCAATCCCAAGCGTTTTGGGTCACGTGCGAATAGATAAGAAAACTATTATCTTTTTCGTAGGTTTTTAGTAAAATTATTATATTTTTTTTTTGTAAAAATAGTAAAAACCCCTGCCAATATTCATTCTAAACACAGATGCTAACAATTGGCACTTTATTTTTAATACTGTCAAATACCCTATTGTGACTAAAGCGAATTGTGGTCATGCACCACAATTTAAGCGGATCATTTTTGAGCCACGAGTGCCGTATCTTCCCTTTTTGTTTTAATCTAAGCTGCAAACACAAATTTATTCAACAACGTCACCCGTTTAAAGGAATCGTCACACATTAAACACACTAGTGTGAACATGTACAAAATTTTAACATTACATAAATCATTTACACTGTTACTTGCTCGCAGCAGAAAAGAGTGTAGACGGTAGTTTGAGGAGACCAGGGGGTCATTCGCCTAACGGAAGTGCTTTGGAAAACGCTAACGCTTTCGATTTTATTGTGTTATTTCTGACCGCCGAAGGTTTTCAAATACATGCAAAAGAAAAAAAAGAGCACGAGGCGTTTAATGTGTGACGATTCCTTTAAACGGGTGACGTTGTTTAATAAATTTGTGTTTGCAACTTAGATTAAAACAAAAAGGGAAGATACAGCACTCGTGGCTCAAAAATGATCCGCTTAAATTGTGGTGCATGACCACAATTCGCTTTGATCACAATTGGACATCCAAACACGATGCATGCGCACTCAATATAACAATATTGCGTATATTCTGTGTTATAAAGATAATCGCCGTTTCGCTCGCGCTGCGTAATACTTACTTTACCATCTTTTATACCATGTTTTGAGTAAATAAAAATATTTTTGTTATTGTTTCCAGGCATACCTTCAACGTTAAACTACATCGACTACAGGGGCGGTCCGCTGCCTCGCTCGCCGCCACTGAAGCCGTACCCTAACATCCGCGACGCTCAGGACCTCACTTCAGTGTACAGGACGAGGGCAGACCAGTGTGGAAGATTGTGGATGGTGGACACTGGCAGACTGGAACTGAGGGGTAAGTTGATAAAATTCTCTACCATGGTTTTGACATGTTCTTACAATGTACTTCCTGTGGGACTCGCCGGCACGGGAAACAGTGCCGACCCTACTCAAGCAGGACCAGTGCGGAAGGCCACACTGATCCTACTCCACTAAAACGCCCATATGGGGGCGTCTCAGGATCGACGCACCTTAGCGTGCGCCACTTCACTGGGACGTCCCCGGGCCGGCCCGGCCCAACGAGTGGACCGGGCGACGCGCCTCAGGGGGACTGCGCTAGGGTACTAGGCAGTCCCCAGAGTTGGTGGCCTATGCCGGAGCGGCACCTAGGACGCGCGGCTGGTCAGGCCGCGCCCAGACCACCTTAGGGCCGTCGAAGACCGGCAGTCACCGCTGCCGGCCTCCTTCGGCCCACCCGTCTACGCCGGAGAGGGGGGGCTAGAGCGTCCTCCTCCCGCTCCCTCTCCGCTGCCTCCTTCTGCGCCATCACAGATTCGCAGAAGGAGGCGGCCGCCCTCCAGGCTCTCTCGCTACCAAGCATGGCTCTTACCATACTTGGCAGCGTGAGGCCTCCTCCGCCGAGCGCCGCGATCAGATCGCGATACAATGTACTTCCTACAACCTGGGATCCTTTAAAAGAAGCGTGATGAAGCACATTCCAGGCCAACAAGGTGAGAATTGCTGGTGTGACAGGTAAAATATTGCCTCTTTACGGTGGGTATTTTCCAAAATTCGACACTTGGTTTCTGTTTTAAAGGGATGGCTTTAGTCCTGCTTGTTTCAGCTCCCCTAACAAGCTCAGTAGTCCTTTGTCAACTCTGCAAGTCTCGAATAGCGTCTGCGGGCAACCCAGGTGGGTCATCCGTTGCCTTTCCACGCCTTTGCAATGTATTGGGTAATTTATTAGAAAAGCTAGAGAAATGCCACCATGGTCTACTACAGCGCTCGCCTCCAAAGAAGCCCTACTCTAACATCCGTGACGCTTGGGACCTCACCTCAGTCTTCAGGACGAGGGCGGACCAGTGTCGAAGACTGTGGATGGTGGACACCGTTAGACTGGAACTGAGGGGTCAGTTATTTACTGGACCGGCAACTTCTCCATGTAGGTGTTTAAGTTTTACGGGCTCAGAAAAAAAATATTAAATTAATATTTCCAACACTCACACCAATTAGCCTAGACCCAAAGTAAGCACTGTAAGGCTTGTGTTATGGGAATACTAGGGTAACGGATAGAATACATATACTGATACATATACGAGTATAAACATATTTATATAGAAATACATGTTAAACATCCATGACTGGAGTACAAATGCTCGTATTTATTACACAAACATCTGCCCGCACCGGGAATCGAACCCTGGACCTCTAGAATCGGCGACAGCATGAAACCCGGCGTACAAACCACTCGGCCATGGAGGTCGTCAGATAAAAATCAAATAGTTTTCGTGGTTTTTTCATCATCATCGTCAGCCTATTAATGTCCCCACTGCTGGGGCGCAGGCCTTCCCTATGGATGGTATAGGGAGATTGGGCCATGACCCACAACGCGAGCCCAGTGCGTGTTTTTTTACTGCTTTTGAAACGGTAACTCTGCTGCTGGCACTGGGTTGTTGGAATTTTCTACGTGTTTATAAAAATAACGAAAATACCTTTATTTTCATAAATGTCATGCTTTACTAAGAAACCAAAATTAGAAATGTAACTGCAACATTCTATTCACAAATATTTTCGTTTTCTTTACAGGAACACAGCGTCAATTGAAAACTCCAGCGATAGTCATATATGATCTGTCTACAGACAGACAGATACTTAGATACGAGTTCAAGAGTACTGACCTGCCAGCTGAGAACACACCAACAGGTAAGGAGTTGTTCTATTAAAATATCGCTGAAATCACCTTTCACTCCTCGGGTCAATAGGGTTAGCACGTAAACTGAGCAGTTGTCACCAAGGCTTGTTTACCGGTTAATTATCAAACCTAAATCAGTGTCAAGTACATTAGGAGCGTTTTATTTAGGTTTGGCTCTACCTTAACCTAAAAACCGGTTTTCAAACATATCCTTCAGCCATAGATAAATGATTGGTCGCTTGAAGCGAGACCAATAATTCATCTATGTCCTTCAGCGTAGTGGTGAACAGTTTCGGCGATATATCGTCGCCCTGTCTTACACCTCGCTGAAGTTGATCTGGTTTTGAGAGGCGGTATTTTGATTTGATTTACTATTCTAGGGGGGAGGGGGTGTAAATCGTAAACGGCCTGGGACGCCAGATTTAAAAAAACCCCCCTGAATAAAATAGAATCATCTTATATAGTTTCTTCATTCCAGGTCTGGCGTCGATAACCGTAGACATCACTAACAACGACTGTGCTAATGCATATGCGTATGTCCCGGACCTGACGACCTTTGGGCTGATAGTCTACTCGCTGCGGGAGAATGACAGCTGGAGACATCAGCACAACTACTTCTCTTTCAATCCTGTCGCTGGGAACCTGTTTATAGCTGGTGAGTACTATAAGAATGTTTTGAACTATTGGTTTTTTTTTGAGTGTGTATGCTGTTGGTCGCAGATGACCTTTACAGCGTCACCGGGTTTGGGGACCTCGAGATCCTAAGGGGACCTCAAGCCGAGAAAAAGCGAGTGCCTCTAGAGGTTTCCAGGCGGATGACATCTCCCCACGGGGGGAGTCTCCTCTCCTTCTGGACCCTTTAGACCACTCGAACCTAAGGGGACTTTTGGATGCTGTCGGACTAAAAGAGATACTAACTTAGTGGCGAGTCACAATAGATCTTTTAGATCGCAGACTTCAGTTCCATTAGGACTGCATTGCTCTAAATAAAATGGAAAGCGAAATAATATCAACGCTGACTAGATATCGCTTCCTTACGAAGCTGGTTTGAGAAAAGGAGAGCCGTTTAATGAGGCTAAATTGTGACTTCCAAGGCTGCAAAGTAGCTTGTTCAGCTATTATTTTCACGAGAATAACTCTCCTGTAGCCGTCCCAGGGCCTCATCTACCTATTAGGCCTGAGGGCATAACAAGAAAACAAAGTCACTTTTATATTTATAATATTATTTTCCGACAGCGACTACGTCCGCGTTTTTATTAGTTTTTTGAAACACACATTTTTCCGGACCAAAAAGTTAAAGATAATTGAATAATAAGGAATATGGCAGATATTTCATACCAATATATTCAGCCGCTATATGTGATTGAGTAAGAAACATACTCACATTAAAAACCCCTCAGGTTCGAGTGGTCTAGAGGATTCAGACGGAGAGGAGATCCCCGTGGGGAAATGCCATCTGCCTGGCATTCCTCAAGAGGCGCTCGCCAATTCTCAGCTTGAGGTACCCTTAGGATCTTGCCGTCCCCAAGCCCAGTGAAGCTGTAAAGGTCATCTGCGACCAATAGCACACGCACTCAAAAAAAACCCATTATATGTACATTTTGTAGGATAAAATAAAATAAACGATTATGTAGTATAATGTATAGGATAAGTATAAGGATTTTTCTTGGAGATCTGCATTAGGCTCTTGAATATCTGTAACATTCAGCATTTCTTTATTTTGTCAACAGACCAAAGCTTCCAATGGAGTGACGGCGTGTTCAGCGTAACCCTGGTGCCCGGCAGTGGCGGCTGCAAGAATGCATTCTTCCATTCTCTAATAGGCACGGACGAGTTCTCAGTATCCACGTGTGTGCTTAAGAACAGAACTGCGATGAACGACCCTAACTATTTCTCCATGTATTCCGTGAGTAATTACGATTTTAACTACCTAAATTTGACTCCATGTTCTCCGTGAGATATAATCAATATATAGCCAGATATAATCAGTCATAAAATCTAGGTAATATATAAAATTCTCGAGGCACGGTGTGAGTAATTGAACTAAGTATTTCGAAACGGCTCCACCGATTTTTGTGAGATTTTATATGCATATTCAGTAGGTCTGAGAATCGGACAATTATTTTTCATTCCCCTAAATGTTAAGGGTGGTCCGGTCCATCCATATTTCTTATTGACAATTTTTGTTGTTTTTATTTTTTTATGATACATCATACAAAAATACATACAACCCTAAATTTTAACCCTTCTACCACCAACCCCTATTTTTTATGGCGGGTAATTTTCGTGAACTAGTAGTATAGCTTTTAAAACTATAATAGTATCGGTAATATTGATGTCTATTAATAGTATGGGCTTTATATTAGCGATATAAACGATAGGTCTTTTGATATTGTGAATATTTTCAAAGCTTAAGTATCGATAGTCCAGCAACTCTAAATTACAAAAGATCCGTCGCGAAAGATTTAATTTCTCCGAAATCGACAACAATGGCATTTACTCATTGCCCAACACTCTGACTCAACAGGTAGTAGGCAACCGCGGAGAAAGATCCCAGACTACCATGCACGACTACCACCCAGCCACCGGCGTAATATTCTACGCTGAAATAGGAAGGGACTCATTAGCCTGCTGGAACACGGCGCAAGCACTCCGTTCAACCAACGTGGCTATATTGGCACGAGACACGCGGCTACTCAGCTACCCTTCCGGTAAGTGGTCAATACCCCACTGGTAACAGGTCAATACCCCACTACCCCTGCCGGGGGTAACGTGGAGAGTCATCCGGATCCCACGAAACCCGTTCCGGCAGGCGAGGGAGCACTGTTGGGTTTTTAGTGGGTAGGGCCCCCCCTTCATCCCGAACAGCCGCTGAGCCAAATTGGCTCAGCGGGTGGGCGGGATTTGGGGGGAGGAGGAGTCCCACATAACCCCGTCTCTCACCCAGGGGCGGGGTATGCGTCACGCATTTTCCGAATAATAAAAAAAAAAGGTCAATACCCCACTAGTAATAGGTCACTACCGTACCTAATAGAAGTACCGTAGTAGTGACTATTTATAAATCACTACTACGTCGTTAATTAGTCACAACCCCGCCAGTAATCAGTCACTCCGTGCTTCGGAAGGCACATTAAGCCGTTGGTCCCGGCTGCATGTGCAATCGTTAACACCCGCCTATCCGCAGTGGGCCCGCGTGGTGGTTCATGCCCCAATCTCCTTATTCCATCCATAAGGAAGTCCTGTGCCCCAGCAGTGGGGACATTAATAGGCTGATGAAGTGATGAATTTTTGACATGATACATATATTCGTTCACAGATCTCCATGTGACCGGTGATGAGGTGTGGGTGATGGCGAACACACTGCCACGCTTTGGATACTCCAGATTTGATACGAACGAATACAACTTTTATATCTACAAGTAAGTCTACAGAACACAGAAGGAGGTCAGAAGGGCGAAATGAAAAGTCATTTATTCAGTCTAGGCTGTTACAAGCACTTGTGAAGGTCAGAAGCTACGCCATCGGTTCGCAAAACTACGGCGGGAGACCTTGTACTGAGAAGAACCGGCAAAAAACTCAGCAAGGGCTGCTTTTTTCTCCCTTTATTGATATATACAGAGTCGTCAAGTTGAAAAATGACTTCAGAGATACTTCTGAAGTCACCTTCCATTACATCATTTAGGAAATAGATATATACAGTTACAATAATAATTTTATATTTAGTATATAGGAAGCGGCATTAGATAGGTACCATATTACTGTTACAAAAACTGACTAATACCCATCAAATAACAAATTAAAAGAAACACTATGTCCATGCATTACGATCATTTAGATAATCATTGACTTTATAATAGCCCTTATTCATAAGAGAATTCTTGATCTGAGATTTAAATTTGGTTAGTGGAAGCTCAATCAGATCTTGGGGAACTTTGTTAAGCAATGCAATACTACAACCCAGAAATGAACCTCTTGATTTTTGGAGTCTGAAACATGGAACAGCAAGCTTGTTCTTAAATCTCGTATTAAAGTTATGGGTTTAACTTTTTTTTGCAAATGCGTCATAGTTTTTTCTTACGTATATTATATTTTCATAAATGTATTGCGATGCCAGTGTTAAAATATTAATTTCTTGAATTTTTTCTCTAAGAGATTCTCTTGCCTTTAAATTATATATGGCGCGAACAGCTCTCTTTTGCAGTATGAAGATACTTTCGATATTAGCAGCTGAGCCCCACAACAAAAGGCCATGATGTGTGAGCAAATGCTCATAACTTGGCCAAAACTTTATTCTGATTGCGTTGTTGCTCTCGGGTGAGCACTGATTGGTTCGATTGTTTGACGTCGCGTCGTTTGATTCGCTATTCGCTATCTATTAGGTGGTAACCTAACATTAGGCGGTGCATTAAAGCGCCTAAAGTAAAAGTAAGAGTGGGGATGAGCCTAAATTGCCTCCTGAATGACAACTAGAAAAAAATCCACGCGGTCCAGGCAGCAGACGGGACTCGAACCCGCACCCTTCGCAATCCGGGCGAATGTACTGACCAATTATGCTAATAATTTTTATTTCTATTGTAAAATAAAAATTATAACTATAATTGCTATTTCTCCTTTCAAATGTTTAATACTTGTAAAAGTATTCATTTGACATTGTGGGTTACCTATAATACGATGAGATGGCGCTGCCTTGCAGCTTAAGAATGGCTAGAAGAATTTCGACGCGGTCCGTGAGGGCCGCGGTAGCATAATTGGTCAGTGCATTCGCCCGCATTGCGAAGGGTGCGGGTTCGAGTCACGTCAGCTGCCTGGTCCGCGTGGAATTTTTTCTAGTTATATTTTCCTTAGTAATTTATTATTTTTCTTTCAGAGCCAGAGTTCAAGATATCGTAGCGGGCACCGTTTGCGGCGAATCGATGCAAAATTCTGTATGGAGTACTTGAAACTGAAACTTATATCTACTTCACTATTTTTTAATTATTAAAAGACACTAGATGAATCTTAAAGTGTTAAGGACCGATTTTCCGGCAAATAAATTTCAATGGTTTTACCAGAACTAATTTCATGACAATAAAGATTAAGCATATTTATAAATTGTGAATTGATATTATTGAATAAAAAGATATGACTGATTTGTGTTTCTGTCTTTCTTCTGATAAGTTTCTTCATCGAATATCTATACCTAATGATACCAAAAACCTAACCCCTAGCACGAACCATTATCGAATTAGAATTTAGAATACTTTGCGATTCCGAAATGTCATTGTCAAGTTTGTATGAAAACTTGAACATTACCGCCATAACTTACTTATAGAGAACTAAAAATCAGTTCGCATTTCGAAATTGCAAATCGAATCGCAAAGTATGTATTCGAATTCGATAATGGTTCGTGTTAAGGTTAGGGGCTGTTATGACAGTGCAATGATATTAACTAAAATATTATAAAATTCTCGTGCCACAGTGTTCGTAACAAAACTCCTCCGAAACGATTCTTATGAAATGTGTGTTTGTTCAGTGGACCACACCTTACTGGTTTGAAAATAGGACTTTAAACTATTAAGAGTTCATAATAACTAACTATGTTGCCATATTTTTTTTCGATAGGAGTTGTAGTTTTCCCGTAAACCGCAAAAAAATAATCTCCTTTCTTTCAAAAGGATGACCTCAAAAGGTTTCGAGAAAATTTCATTGATTATACCTCATGGTCATCATGTGGTCATCATGTTCAAATTGATAAGAACAAAAATCACACCAAACTTATTTGAACATAAACTTTTTTCTTTCATTTTATTAAAAAAAAAGGCAGACAGCAAACGGACGTGGATTTTTATCTAGTAAAAAATTCTTTAGATTTAAATATCTAGTTAAATCTCACTTAAGTATCACTTAAATGCTTAAAATTAAAAATATAAATAAGGTAACTTTTTCGAAATATTTTTCATCGAAAAAATTACAGCGTATTTGGGACATAATAAGTTATGTATAATGCGATTCAAATAAGAATAGGAAAGCCAATGACCTCCATCTGTCAAATGTCGCTTGAAAAGTACGGTTTGCAAAAAAAAACTCAGAACACTTTTTTAGCACTCAGCTGATTCTAGAAAAAAACCAAACATATTTAAACAAAAAATAACAAATGTTGATAATTAATATTAGTTGTTTTTTTCCATTTATTGAGCTTTGGCTATAAATGGTTGATAACCTAAATCGTCAACCAAATGTCACTTTATGTTGCGTTCAGAAACTCGATTTAAAACTTTCGTTTACATATAGGATGTATGTTCGTATGTGACCTGCATGAGTATTCATAACTTCTCCGGCGGTAATACAGAGAGATGAGCAAAATTGAAGAGCTAGATTGTGATTAATGTTCTTTTTCACACAGTCTTAATAAAGAAATACTATTAAAAATTAGTTGTGATCTTTCTCAACCTTAGTAAATTAATTTTATTAAAAAAAATATGATGTTTTAGAGAGATTAATCTTAGTAAATAAGTTTTATTAAATAGCAACATTTTTTTGCTCACTCTACCTATTTGGTTTGAATTGACAGCTATGACGTCAAAATATGGCACCCAGTCGGTCCTATTCTTAGTTGAATCGCATTATATTCACCGAATTTCGTGTAGTTTTCCCAGAAATCGCCATAAACCGTTAACGAATGGGCCCTTTCCGACCTCTTTTTTATTGTATTCCCTTGTTTTTAGTACATATGTGTTTTATCCAGTTACGAATTTTTCGCACTCAAAAATTATCGTTCTTGCAGCTATAAGCAACTTTTGCAGTGGTCGGTCATTGGATGGGTGACCAAACATTTCTATCTCGAGTTCCTCAGTGCTTCGGAAGGCACGTCAAGCCGTTGGTCCCGGTTGCATCTGTAGTCGTTAGTACTCGCCAATCCGCACTGGGCCCGCGTGGTGGGTCTTGGCCCAATCTCCGTATTCTATCCATAGGGAAGGCCTGTGACCCAGCAGTGGGGACATTACGAGGCTTATGATGTTGATATCAATTTTGTTATACGATATAACAGAATAGACAAAAAAAAACTAAATATAGAAATAACTGAGCACATTTTTGTAGGGTTCCGTAGTCCTGACAAGGACTGGAACCCTTATAGTTTCGTCATGTTCGTCTGTCTGTCCCTCCCCGGTTTTGCTTGAAGACTGTTAGCACTAGAGAGCTGTAATTTTGCGGAGATATGTAATTTTATATGATAAAAGGAGACCCGGCACTTTTCATAGAAAAAATGCCTGAAAAATCTCAAAATAAAGCCACAATTATTTGCTACATAAAACTACTTTTGCCTTATTTTTAGTGAATCGTGGAAGGAAGTTAAATAATTATTAATATTGTTTGATATGGAAACCCTAAATCTTCAAGGGACAGAATTTTACTTCAAAATATTACTCAAGTGACTGTAAAAACCATTATTCCTTTGCTTTTTCTAAATAAAAAACCAAATGTCAATTTGACAATCCTAAAATACAAACAAAAAAAAATTCATTCGCATCCGCTCCCGCGAACTGTGATTGTGAATGTTCTCTGCTGTGATTGCCTTTTTATCCGTTATTTCTCTTGACGACCCGGCTACAATGCATTGATGCATTGATGGCACTCTAGTGGCAATGAAGAAACCGGCAGAAAATTAAGAACGATTTTACTGTCGCAAAGGTTACCATGCAAGAAATGTGCAATTGGTATATTTTTTTTTAAACATATCTTTTAATTATCTATGAGAATATGAGTTTTGGTTTATATCTTCTAATTGGACGTAGTTACGCGAAAACGTTCCAACCCACAAGTCACTCGAAAATGAGTTACCATAACCAGGGTACTATTTTTGACATATTACATCATGTGCACACAAAGATGCTAGTATTTTTAGGTTAGTTTCATCAATAAAGTTTAACCCAAATGTTCCAACCCACCATTATGCCAAGGACGTGTACTCAAAATAAAGTAAAAACATTACATGCATACTGAAACATATTGTTAAAAACTCTTAATAGAATAACATATCGTTATAATGTTCCACTTGTCTTGGAACATTATACTAAATTCATAAAACGCACATTTAATGGTTTCTTAAATGATCCATGTGGGTTGGAACGTTTTTGCAAAATCTTTATACATTTTTTATTTCTGCAAAAATGTTCCATGTAATTTGAAACCTTTTAGATTAATCCATACTGTTTTTTTAAGCTGCGAACACTGTTCTAAATAAATTGAAACCTTTTATTATAATATATTATTTTCTAATTTTTTGCTATAAACAATCCACATATACTTGATCCATTTTTGCTATTAAGTATGTTCTAGAGAAAAAGATATTTTTTACCAAAATAAATAACTATGGTATATTTGGACGTAGTAACGAGAAAATGATCCAACCCACAGCAACCCCAATTTGAGATAAACGCAATTTACACACTTTTCCCCTGTAATTATTTCAGGCAAATACTATTGGTTTAACTATGGAATGCCAAACTGATTATTGAATGATATGCATATTTTTTGTAAATACATAATACAAGGGGCATATAAATAGGTAAAACGAGTTTGAAATGTTTTTGCTAAATTAATTTTGTATGAACCTTGTTAAATAGCAATTATGCATAAACTTTCCAAAACGAATTTAAGTGTATTATTTTATAAAAATAAACCAAAAAGAAATATGTAAAATAATAAATAACAATGAGGAACATACAAAAACAACAAAAAAAATATTTGAAAATGTATTACAAAAAAATAGAACGTGATCTTTTGAGTTTAGAACCTATGCCAAAAATTTGCTGATATGGTTCCAAAAGTTATCAAAAACTTATATTATAAACATTCAATTTTCATCATCGTATTCTATGATCTCGAAGTCCGGAACTCCACCAAACCCATCAACATCATCAGTGCTTCTTCAGAACTTTGAAGCGTTCTATAAAATTGAAGGCAATCCTCGGGTATGTAGTGGTACATGGATTGTAAGTCCACTAATTTCGCTGGAGCAATCGGTTTGTCGTTAGGCCACAATAAGCAAAAATCAGATTCTTTTATGTATTGCAGTTCTCGTTTTATTCTTTTATCAATTTTCAACTCATTGAAATCGTCTTCCATCGTAGACCGCATTAAAATAGAAAAAATCATATCTTTATCCAACTTAATTTCTTTTGTATGTAGCCAACTAACTTTAGATGAGTCTGTAAACTTCTTCCTATTGATAATCTTCTTTTCCAGTTTAGTTGTACTATAAAATCAGTCTTTGTCATTTTGTAAACTTGAAGAGGTTTAACTTTTTTACTTAGTTCTACAATAGTGGTATCCATAGTGCATCTAATGATACTGGGCATTGTTATGTATTGGTAGAAGGAGAGGTAGGAAGAGGTGCACAGGAAGTGGATTGCCTTCTGTTCTGAAGAAGCACTGATGATGTTGATGGGTTTGGTGGAGTTCCGGACTTCGAGATCATAGAATACGATGATGAAAATTGAATGTTTATAATATAAGTTTTTGATAACTTTTGGAACCATATCAGCAAATTGGCATAGGTTCAAAGCTCAAAAGATCACGTTCTATTTTTTTTGTAATACATTTTCAAATTTTTGTTGTTTTTGTATGTTCCTCATTGTTATTCATTATTTTACATATTTATTTTAGATATATTTATAAAATAATACACTTGAATTCGTTCTGGAACGTTTATGCATAATTGCTATTTAACAAGGTTCATACAAAATTAAATTTAGCGAAAACGTTTCAAACTCGTTTTACCTATTTATATGCCCCTTGTATTATGTATTTACAAAAAATATGCATATCATTCAATAACCAATTTGGCATTCCACAGTAACACCAATAGTATTTGCCTGAAATAATTACAGGGAAAAAGTGTACCGCTAAAACACAAAATTGCGTTTATCTCAAAATGGGGTCGCTGTGGGTTGGAACGTTTTCGCGTAACTACGTCCAATTATCACTATCTGTACTACTTTTCACAATCCAATGAATGGCCATTGTAACTTTTGCTTAGAATGCCAAGTACTAACTATTCTCCTTCCCCTTTATTAAATAACAATGA